AGGCACCTACGTTGACGAGGTTCCCCCGCCTGGGGCGAACATCGTCAGTGGCATGTGGATTTTCAGGGTGAAGCGGCCGCCGGGTTCTCTGCCTGTCTTCAAGGCGCGTTACGTGGCTCGTGGCTTCAGTCAGCGGCAGGGAGTTGACTACTTTCAGACCTTCTCTCCCACCCCGAAGATGACCACTCTTCGGGTACTGCTGCACATAGCTGCTCACCGAGACTACGAGCTGCACTCTCTTGACTTCAGCACTGCTTTCTTGCAGGGCAGCCTGCACGAGGAGATCTGGCTGCGCCGCCCACTTGGCTTCACTGGGACTTTTCCTCCTGGCACCCAGTGGAGCCTCCGGCGGCCAGTCTACAGTCTCCGCCAGGCGCCTCGTGAGTGGCACGACACACTGAGGACGACACTTGCGGCTCTTGGGTTTGCTCCTTCTACTGCCGACCCGTCGCTGTTTCTGCGCACCGACACTTCTTTGCCGCCGTTCTACATCCTCGTGTACGTCGACGACTTGGTCTTTGCTACAGCTGACACTGCTGGACTTGCCTACGTGAAGTCCGAGCTGCAGAAGAGACACACGTGCACAGACCTGGGTGAACTGCGCAGCTATCTTGGCTTGCAGATCACCCGGGACAGAGCACAGTGCACCATTACCCTGACTCAGTCATACATGGTGCAGCAGGTCCTTCAGCGCTTCGGCTTCACGTACTCCTCGCCTCAGGCCACTCCTCTGCCTACACGCCACTCGCTCTCAGCTCTACCTTCGGATGAGTCCGTAGAGTCGAGTGGCCCGTACCCAGAGCTTGTCGGCTGCCTCATGTACCTGATGACCTGCACTCGACCTGACCTTGCATACCCTCTTAGCATTCTGGCACGCTATGTTGCTCCTGGGAGACACAGACCAGAGCACATGGCTGCAGCGAAGAGGGTGTTGCGCTACTTGTGCAGTACGTCGAGCATGGGGCTTGTGCTTGGAGGGCAGAGTCCAGTGGTCCTCACTGGTCACGCAGACGCTTCTTGGGCCGACGACCAGGCTACGCAGCGGTCGTCACAGGGTTACACCTTCAGCCTTGGTTCCGGCTCTGTTTCGTGGCGGTCTACATGCTCGTCTTCTGTTCTCGGCTCCAGCTGTGAGGCTGAGATCTACGCAGGGGCCATGGCTGCACAGGAGCTACGCTGGCTCACCTACCTGCTGACTGACCTGGGAGAGCCGCCTCGTTCTCCTCCAGTGCTGTACGTAGACAACAAGGCCATGCTAGCCTTGTGTCGGGAGCACAGACTGGAGCACAGAACGAAGCACATCGCTCTCCGCTACTTCCTTGCTCGTGAGCTGCAGCAGCGTGGTCAGCTGCGCCTTGCTTACGTGGCCTCTGAGGCCAACACTGCTGATATCTTCACCAAGGCACTCGCGCCTTGTGATCATCAGCGCTTCTGTACTCTGTTAGGTCTTGTGCCTACCTTGCCTCACTTGCTTACTTCTTGACCTTGCTTGTACTGTTACATATATATACCTGCCCTTGCTTGTTTAGCGTTATATATATGTACCCTTGCATGTGAACTGGCCTTGTGGCCTTGAACTTGTGCTCAGACTGTGTGGCGACGTTGTGATCCACCCTGAGCTTGCCTTGCCTTGCTTTGCTTGACTGGTCTTGTGACCCCTTGTTCTCCCCCACTTTGCCTATGGGGGTGTGTCAAACTTATACACTATAGTCTGTGTAGGCTGTAGTGGGGTAGCTTATATGGGGTACAACATTCTAGGGTTTGGTACTTGTACTCCTCATGCTGCTCAATTCAACCATTCTCGTTCTAATTTTCACAAGTTTAGCTTGATAGTGTAGCGTTATAAGTTGAGGTAGGTTGTGCATGCTTGTTATCGTGTATTCTTATTTCTGTATTCTAGTATATGGACATAATAAATTGTCTTCGACATCCTACCCTACTCACTATGAAGGTCGCGTCGCCAATATCCTTTTATGCTGAATTGTTTGGCATTATTAAATGTATTGATTTTGCAAATTGGAATAATCGTGTCGTTTAATTTTCTTAGTTACTAGGTTACCAGGTCGTATTGCAACGTTTTGTGTTAGTCATGTTTTATCGATTATCAGGATTTCACTGTACACATTCGTATTCGGGTACTGGATGGCTTGCTAAACAGTTCAAACGTCATTTGACACTGCGACGCGCGTTGTGTTTCAATTCGACGCTGCAATCAACACTGTTTTAATTACGACCAATGAACACCTTCGCAATGGCCCTTTCCCGAAGTCAGGAACAAATTACAGCTGACAATACAGTTCGTACGTGTGGTGTTACCGGTTCTCGTGTGCAAGCAGAAGTGTCGGGCATTTCGCCGATCACACATCCGTTCCGACCTGTAAGTAACTTTGCAGCATGTTTACGTTCGGGAGACCCCAACCCTCACATCGCATGTTTCAAGTATGTTCGCTAGTAACTAGAACTCTGAAATCTGGGCTCCAACCACAAAGTAACTAGGAAATAGCTTCGTAGTAGGTTTAGCTTCCCTTCATTTTTGGGATGAACATATACTCACAAAACTCTGCATGCCATTTATAAACAAGTCATAACAAATCACGATTTGGCAATTGACTGGTACGTGAAATATGTAAAACTAAAGCATGGTAGAAGGAGGGGGAAGACTAAGGACCAAAACAAGCTCAAAAGACCAAGGCATTGTGAGGTAGAATTGGCCGAGTGCAATGTAATCTCACGTTGGAATGTGGACTACGGACCTTATTGATATTTAGTACCATTTGCCACTTCCGTTCACGTTGCATCAAAACGTGCAGCATGACAGCGTTATGCATGCAGTGGAAGCGGCAACTAAATCCTGCGACTAACTAAAATCCGACCCACTCAAAACCTACGAAGGCGAATCGGGAGTTGTTGGAAACCCTAATATGTGCTACGATGTTGATGTGCTGAGAGGAGTTGGTGCAAGGACGGTGTTCAAACGGATTTTGTGACGGGTGAAAAGGAGTGATGATGGACGAATTTCTAACGGAAGGAGTGGGGGGGGGGACGAATTTCTGACAGCTCCTGTTTTGAGGCTCGTAACGGGTGGCGACCCTCAGCTTTGGCGCGAGAATCTTGAGATTTCGATTTCATCTCGGTCAAATCCGCGTCACCCTGATCGTGTTGCTGGTTAGGTGTAAAAGACGAGGGTTGTTGGGGACTGCTCACTTTGAAAGAATGAACAGCGCTCAGCCTAGGATTTCGAGACATGTGGGCCAATCAGCGCCTGACTTCTCAACGAGCAGCATGTTTGAACGCACTCGGATTGAAACTCCCCGTAACCATTCCCAAATAGCGCTAACAGTTCCCTCAGAGCGGAGAGAGCACAGTAAACATGATGCCCGGTTGAGCCCCCCGACCTCGCCTTACCCTCTGGGCTTATAAGCGATTCTCGCTTCGCTTGAAGATTTCGTCAATTCGCATCGGGCAAAAAGGGCTTATAAAAAACAACTATAACTCAACGCTGACTGTTTGACTTTGGTCTCGTCAGTCAAACTTCAGTTTCTGTGGTTCGTATTGGTCGACGTGCTTGTAACGTGGGTGCAACGTCACGGCACAAAACCCACGGGTGCAAGGTTTCCATCCGGCGCAAGGCAATTTTGCGTGCAAGAGATGAGCATCAGGTGTAGTACTTCCCGATTGACTCAGCTGCTGAGAACGGATAGCTGATGTGGTACGACTGGTGAATTTCGTGCGCGAAATTCGCATTGCGCAAAACCGTATTCTTTATTCTAGGAAACCGCGAATTATAACGAGAATCTCGAGTCTGTCAATTACTGATTTGAGGTTGGCCTGATAGGAGGCCGTAGGAACACGCTCTAAGCCCACCCACAAAATTTACAGGTTTATTTATACCCCCACCTGGGGGTATATCCGGGGGATGACGGTACATGGTCTGGAAAATCATATGAACCTAAAACTGTTGTGTGACTGATCATATGAAAATAAACACACTGTCCTAGAAATCAGATGAATACAAAAAATTACGGTACGTATGAAAATCAGACCATCAGACCAATTTGGTCTGATAACAAGGACCCTGCCGCACAGGGCCTATTTTTCAAGGGTAAAACACACTGATTACACTTGCCAGCGGCCGTTTTTTCGAAGGTTACCCTGATTTTGAAAGCCTGTTTTGTTTGTTACCCTTTCTGCAAAAGTGTACACATACAGAATAGGCTGATTTTGCCAGTGTGTTGTGGATTTTAGCCTTACCAGATAGGGTGCGGAAAAAAACGCACTGAACCAGAAAGTGATGAACAGTTGAAATCTGCTTTGTGTCGCATCTAATCCCGAATCTACCCCGAATCTCGCGCCATTCCAAACCCTGCCCTGCTCCCCAAGTGCCAGTTGCCTCTGCCAGCCCGATTCGCTCTATTCCCTTCGCTCCCTCAGCCTCATTCATCCCCTTTCCTTCGGCCCTCCTCCCCAGCCCCACTCCCCACATTTCCTTCAGCTCTCCCAGCCCCATTTCCCCCACATCCTTGGCCCCAATCCCCTCGTTTTCCTGTATTTCACAGCCCCACTTCCCACATTTCGCCTACATCTCCTTTCCCCCGTCTTCCTTGCCTCTCCCAATCCCAACCCCTTGCGATGTTTTCGCCTGTGTTGCAGGGCGCAGGGTTTCGCATCAAGCTAACAAAGTGAATGTAACATTTTAGTAAGTTCAAGAATATTTTACCCTACATAACAAGGGTGTAATTTTACATAATTAAATTTACCCTGATTTTGACAGGGTGCAAAATAAAGTATCCTGGCCGAAAGGGTGACGTCAGCAATGAACCCTGATTCCTAAGTATGCTCTAAAACCAATTTTGGGCCCTGCTGCCGCATACCTACACCCAATATATTTATACAACCAACAAAGCATTTAGCCTATCAAGGTCTCTTTAGGGAAACGATCAATCAAGGCATTGCCATCGTCCACCCTGATCCACCCCATCCAGCCCCAAGCCAAGCCAGCCTCACTGAGACCATGTTAAGAAGGTTCGGCTGTTGGTTCGGGCCGGAGCCGGCAGCTCCTCCATTTCAAGCACCTTATCCTCCGGCACGGAGGAGGTGGTTCGGCCGAGGGAGCCTGACGCGGAGGAGAGGGCTGCTCGCGCCTCATTAGTTCCTTGTTTTGAGGGCGACGTGAGATCAGCTGCTGCAGCGGCGTTGAGGGCGAGTCGAGCATCCTTGCCGCCCTTGAAGGAGATGTCCTGCAGGGAGGGGCGCAGCAGGGGCGCATTGGCACGTGCAGGGGATGGTAAGGGGATGGTAACGACATGCATATGAGGAGTAGCACAGCAGGCATCCTTGCCTCCCTCCCCCCCGGTTCCAAGTCAGGTTGCTCTTGGCGTGCTTATTCCTGGCCTCATGGTTGAAGAAGAACACCACCACTGTGATGTCATCGTGGTACTCCCCCTGCCACTCCCCTCCCTCTCCCCCTCCCTCCCTGCTTCTTTCCTTGCTTCCTCCCACCTTTCCCTCCCTCCATGTTAACCTCCCTGCTTCCCTCCCTCTCTTCCCTCCCACAAGCACACATGCAAGCCAAGACAAAACAAGGCATCGCTTACATGGTTCCAAGTCATGTTGCTCTTGGCGTGCTTATTCCTCGCCTCGTGGTTAAAGAAGAACACCACCACTGTGATGTCATCGTGGTACTCCCGCCGCTGCCCACTCGCCATGCGCAGCAGATCCTGGTACCGGATCTCCCGCCTCTCCGCCGCCCGCCGCAGCGCCGCCCGAATCAGCTGCCGGGCGATGTCCTGATGGGGGTGGAGACGGTGCAGTGGGCAGGGGTGATGGGGGAGGGAAGAGGGGGGATAGGGGGAAGGGGGAATTTGGGCAGCAGGAGGGTAGGGAGGTGAGGAGAAGTTACTACGAAGGCATTGTTCAGCTGTACGGGCGCGTGCCAATGTTGGCCTCATCTGTTGCAGCCCATCTGCAACGGTCTGCACCGCACTCGACCACAGCTACTACCAGCAGCTCACTTTTCTGGGGCTGCTCGCAACAATGTCGACGGCCTCGTGGTTGCTGATGACCTTTAACCTGTCAGGGGCGAGGATGACAACTCATTTGCACCACACTCCACCACAGCTACTACCAGCAGCTCACCTTCCTGATGCTGCTGGCTACGATGTCGACGTTCTGGTTGCTGATGAACTTAAATCGCCCATTCAAAGCCAGGATCATAGCCCATCTACACCGCTCTGCACCGCACTCGACCTCACCTTCCTGGGGCTGCTTGCCACAATATTGACGGCTTCCTGATTGCTGATGAACTCACAGAGCCCATCGGTGGCGAGGATGACAAGACAGCCCATCTGCAACACTCTGCCCCGCAGTCCACCACAGCTACTACTAGCCAGCGGCTCACCTTCCTGGGGCTGCTGGCCACAATATCAACGGCCTCCTGGTTGCTGATGAACTCAAAGAGACCATCCGAAGTGAGGATGACAGGACAGCCCATCTGCACTGCACTCGACCACAGCTACTACCGCTGTGCACCGCACTCGCCCTCACCTTGCGGGGGCTGCTGGCGACAATGTCGACAGCCTCCTGGTTGCTGATGAACTCAAAGAGCCCGTCGGAGGCGAGGATGACGAAGGAGTCGTGTGGCGACAGCAGGCGCACCGCGATGTTGGGCTCACACGACAGGAGGGGCGGGTGGAAGGGCTCCGGCACTCGGAAGCGCGAGAAGAGCGGCTCGCGGTTGAACTCGTGCGACTTGAGATACAGGTCGCCAAAGGACCGGGTGACCTGGAGGGGGGGGCAGTGGGGGGGAGGGGAGGGAGGAAGGGAAGGGGCATGGATCGGCCTTGCACCTCTGTGACGGGCACAGAGGCAGTCACACCAAAGCGCGAGAGAAGCGCGGATCAGATTTCTCCTTGCGGTGGTGGGCGGCAGAACACTGACCTGTTGCTGCACTTGTTCGTCCTCTCTCTTTGCACTCACCGTCACTTTGCCCTTGACTCGGAACCCCCCGCGCTTCTCCACCACAGCATCGGGCATGTCAGCATGCTCCTCGATGAACTTCTCTCGGATGGAAGCGAAGGACAGGTTGTGATCCACTGATAGCTGCAAGGCACGGCACTCCAGAGAGTTGTCGTCGCCCTTGCGCACCTGAGTGGAGGTGGGTGGAGGGGAGAGAGGAAAGAAGGGGAGAGAGCGGTGGGAAGGGGTAGGTTGTGGTCCACTGACAGCTGCAGCGCACGGCACTCCAGAGAGATGTCGTCGCCCTTGCGCACCTGGTGGGAGGGAGGGGAGGGCGAGGAGATTTGGAGAGAGATAGCAGGGTGAGGAAACAGCTCTATGACTTCCTTCCTCTCAGTCACTAGCTGCAGCGCCATGCAATCCAGTGAGATGAGAGGGAAGGGAGGGGGGAAGTGGGGAGGGGCATGTGGGCAGGCGCAGGCTCTTGGATGAACTTCTCTCGGATGGAAACAAACGACACTCCAGCCTGTTGTCGTCGCCCTTGCACACCTGGGGGACGGAGGGACGGAGGAGGGGAGGGGAGGAGAGCGAGTGTGGAAAGAAGGGAAGCAGAGGGAGGGGAAAGGGGAGGGGGAAGAGGGAGAGAGGAGAGGAGGTGGGGAGGGGGCATATCGACAGGTCGCTCGATAAACTTGCCTCGGATGGAAGCGAAGGACAGGTTGTGATCTGCCGATAGCTTTAGTGCCCGGCACTCCAGCGATCTGTCGTCACCGCCCTTGCCCACCTTGGCGTTTGAACTTTCTCATAGGCACTGAAGTTCTTCCCACCTTCCAAATCCCACCTCCCCTCACATCCCACCTCCCCTCACATCCCACCTCCCCTCACATCCCACCTCCCCTCACATCCCACCTCCCCTCACATCCCACCTCCCCTCACATCCCACCTCCCCTCACATCCCACCTCCCCTCACATCCCACCTCCCCTCACATCCCACCTCCCCTCACATCCCACCTCCCCTCACATCCCACCTCCCCTCACATCCCACCTCCCCTCACATCCCACCTCCCCTCACATCCCACCTCCCGTCACATCCCACCTCCCCTCACATCTCACCTCCCCTCACATCCCACCTCCCTTCACATCTCACCTGCCCCAGCACGGCCCTGCAGTCGCCCACATTGGCCACCCAGAGGGCATTCCCAGTGACCACCGCCACCACACTGCACGACCCCACTGTTGCCAGATGGGGGCTCGCTTCAAATGACTGCCGCACCACCTGCAGGTGACGAGAGGTGACGAGGGGTGAGGAGGGGTGGGGAAGGGTGCAGAGGGGTACATGCATGCTCAATTAGCAGTAAGAGAGTGTGTGGGTGCATTCCCAGTGACCACGGCCCCCACACTGCACGACCCCACTGTTGCCAGGTGAGGGCTCGCCTCAAACGACTGCCGCACCACCTGAAGTGCACAGAGCGGTGGGGAGGGGTGCGGAGGAGTGCGCATGATATGAAGTGGCTAGGAAGTTCAATCTTAGGGGGCATTCCCAGTGCCACCACGCTGCACGACCCCACCGTTGCTAGATGGGGCCTTGGTCAAACGACTGCCGCACCACCTGAGGGGCGCAGGTGGAGAGGGGCGCAGGTGGAGAGGGGCGCAGGTGGAGAGGGGCGCAGGTGGAGAGGGCCTCATGCTTTGTTCGCTTTCAGAAAGGAGGTGGGAGGTCGGGGGTGGGGAAAACAAAATGAGGATTATGAGGGTGGGGAAGGGAGTGAAAGAGGTGAAGGAAAGAAGGTGGGATGAGGTGCATGAGAAAGGGGTGGAGCGGCGCGGCAGAGAAAAAGAGCATGGGAGGCAGTCGGCAGTTGAAGAGCACAATCCAAGGCACAACACACGATTTCCGGGTGTGAAGAGCGGTACCTGGGTGAAAGCTGTCTCTGTTTCGTGAAAGGCTCCTCGCACTGCTTCTGCTGACACCTGCCCGCCCTGGTGCATGAATTGCGCTGCACAGCCACACGACGCAGGAAACACAGGAAACGCACAAGATACTTTTTGGGGCACCTCAACACAAGCACAACGTCGGAGCCAGACTGTGCACCCTGAAGTGGCACGGCACAGAGCGGTTCACGCATATAGGGGATGGAACCACACGTTTCCAATACATGTTATCTTTGTTTAGGGGCCTCGAGGGCCATTCAAAGTCACCCACCTTTTAAGGTTGAACTACAGATTGCCCTTTTGGCACCGCAAAATTCACAGCCTTGAGAGCTGTGAGGTTGAAGTAGAGGTTCTCCTTGTGACACTCCGACGTCTCGGTCCCACCCCACCATGCCCGTCATGCACGCCCATAAAAACCCCACTGCTGGACCCTTCCACCTCACCCATAGTTCGCCTCACCTCATACATCGCCAGCGAGAAGTGCCCGTACTGATTGACTTAGACTTGGTGGCCACCACTGAAACAAGTCACTTCTTCCCCACCTTTGATACTCACAAAGGCACCCCATGGGTCATTCAAGGCGCGTCACCTTTGAGGTTGAAGTAGAGATTCTCTTTCAGAAACTCCGACGTTTCAGTCCCGCCGTGGCCGTCATGCACGCCAATGTAAACCCCGCTGCTGCTGCCCTCCACCTCAGCCGTGTCCTCCATCACATAGTTCGCCTCATACATGGCCAGCGAGAACTGCCCATAGGGGGTATTATCCAGCGCCCGGTGCCACACGTCCCGCTTCTGCCCAAACGCCTCTGCGGGCCCGCCTGGGCGGCCCCAGCGCTTGGGGTTGAGCATGCGCACGATGGTCTCCAGAACACCCGGCATGCGGTGGTGCATGGAGCGCCCGGTGAGGAAGCGCCGCCCGCCGTACTGGCTGTCCTCCATGTCAAACTCCTCTCCCTCGTCCTCGCCCCCGTGGAAGGCCACGTCCAAACCAACCTGCAGTGGGGGAGGGGCGGGGCGAGGGGATGCGAAGAAGAAACATGGGTTACCACTCCCGCCGTACTGGCTGTCCTCCATGTCGAATTCCTCGCTCTCGTCCTCTCCTCCATGAAACGCTACATCCAGGCCGACCTGCGGCGGGGGAGGGGAGACGGGGAAGTTAGAATATGCATGCAGTAGTTGGAAGGGTAGGCTAGCACTCCTCCTGCCGCACTGCCTGCCCTCCTTGTCCAGCTCCCCCCCCGGTGGAAGACAACATCAAGGGCGACCTGCGGCGAGGAGGAAGAGGGTGCATGGGAGCACGGGGAGGAGAGGGAGGGGGAGGAGGTAGATAAACGCAGCACCTTAACTGGGACCAATGCCGTACTGGCTGCCCTGCCCTGCATCACAAACTCCTCTCCTCTCCCTGGTCCTCCCCGCCGTAAAATGCAATATCCAGGCTGATCTGCGGCTGGGAGGGGATGCAGAGGGGGGGTTAGGGGGAGGAGGTTGGAAGGAGGGGTGAAGAGGAGGGGAGGAGGGAAGGGTGGTAGAAAAATGCAATGCTTCAGTTAACAGAGATGCAGACATAGGGGTACGTGGATGGGGGGAGAGGACGCGAAGGGGGGCAGTAACGGGAGAGGTGCCATGGGGACAGTTGGAAGAAGAGCCAGTGGCAATACCACCTCTTCCTGGTCCTCCTCACCTCACCTCCTCCCTCTCACCTCCTCCCCCTCACCTCCTCTCCTCCCTCTCACCACCTCCCTCACCTCCTCCCCCTCACCTCCTCACCTTCACCTCGTCCCCCTGACCTCCTCCTCCCCCTTACCTCCTCCTCCTGCCTCTTGACTCGCAGCACACCAAAGGCGCCGAGAAACACAAAGAGCACGTATGTGGTGATGCCCACCCACGCGTACACTAGCAGCAGCGCTAGGATCTGAACACAGAGCCGGGAGTGGAGAGGGGAAGGATTGGGGTGACACGGCAGCAGTTGGGAAAGAAGGAAACACAAAGAGCACGTATGTGGTCACGCCCACCCAACCCAAGCATACACCAGCAGCAGAACCATACTTAAGGGTGAACGTAGGGAAGAGCAGCGGAGGAAGAGGAATAACAGGTGCAAAGGGGCAGATCTGTGATGCCATCGCTGGCTACGCCAACCCAACCCAGCAGCTGCCAGCCGCCGCCGCTGTAGAAGAGCCCCCAGGAGGGCGGGACAACGCCGTAGGTGGCAGTAATGCCATCCTTGCTAACGAACAGCCCTGCTGCCCAGATACGGCCCTACCCTTCATACAGCATTAACCGTACGGCCCTACCCTTCATACAGCATTCACCAACTGGTATGGTATGACCCACCCACCTGCACGAGCAGTTGCCAGCCGCCCCCACCATAAAACAGCCCCCAGGAGGGCGGGGAGACGCCGTAGGTGGCGGTGATGCCATCCTTGGTGGCGAACAGCCCTGCTGCCACGCCACCCCATGACCCGCAGAACAGGTGCGTTGGTGCCGCCTGCACTGGATCGTCTATCTGGTACCTGGTGTGATGGTGTACGTACACACGGGGAAAAGGTTCTGAGTGTGACTACAAAGTCAGGGCTGCCTGCACCGCATCGGACCTACCCATCCATCCACCCACCAACCGACCTGAACTGAACATGAGCCAGCAGCGCCAGCAGGCAAATGAGCATCTCTGAGGCGCCTCAAAGACACACACTCTCACACAAAAACACACTATCACACCCATTCATCGCATTCACTCACCGTAACAACCATGATCCCACCCTCCCACCCGCGCTCTCCACCCTCCCACCCGCGCTCTCCACCCTCCCACCCAGCCACACACAAACCCTTGCTTGCACGCCCCGGCACATGAGCAGGTACATGAAGAGCCCCGCCATAACTGCTGCTGTAGGCGAATTCCCACACATACACACGTCCCTCCCTCCACACTCTACACACAGTGCCACATGCCCCCTATTCTCCCTGCCACCCACGCACCGGAACATGAGCCAGCACCCCAGCAGATACATAAGCCCCGCCACCACCCCAATAATCGCAGCAGCATACGGCTCCACCACGCTGCTGGTGGCACACGCGGCCACCAGCCCGCCAATCACCCCGTTGAACGTGTCCTCTGGCACGGGCTCCCTGCGCCGGTACGTGAGCGTCCACACGGTGACGCCACTGAAGGAGGCTGAGATGGTGGTGTTGACGCACACGCGCGCCACCTCCTGCACCCACTGCAGGGGCGGCTGGCCGACCAGGGAGACTGAGCCCCCGTTGAAGCCGTAGAAGCCCACCCAGAGGATGATGGTGCCCGCTGCTATGAACACCTGCGGGCGGAGGTTGGGTGAAGGGGGAGGAGGGGAAAAGGGCGGTAAGCGTGGGTGATGCGCAGTGCTGTGCCGTTGAAACCATAGAAGCCCACCCAGAGGATGATGGTGCCCGCTGCTATGCACACCTGCGGATGGGCGGAGGGTGGGAGGGAGGAGGGAGGGGAAGGGAGGGGAAGGGAGGGGAAGGGAGGGGAAGGGGGGGAGTGTGAGGGTGGGTAGGTGTGGGTAATGGGGGCAGCGTTGAGCTCTTGAGGCCGTAGAAGCCCACCCAGAGGATGATGGCGCCCGCTGCTATGCACTCCTGGGGAAGGATAGGGCAGACCGCAGGTGGGAGAGGAGGTGGGGGGGATGGGAGATGGAAAAGAAAGTGGGCCCAAGGGGAGGAGGAGCAGGAGGGAGTAGGAAAGCGTTAGACATGTAAGGAAGACCATGAGGGGGAAAGAAGGGAAAGAAGGGAAACGAGGGAGGGGGTCTAAAAAAGGAAAGAAGGGCAGGCAGACGTGTTCCTCCTACGTACCACTGAGTGGCACTTGAAGGGCACCACTTTGCCGTCAATGTCAAACCGACCTATGCGCGGGCCCACTAGAATCGCCCCCACCAACGACGTGACGCCACCTGTGCACAGAGCAGGTGCCAGTGGGTGGGCGCATGAGGAGAAAGGGAGGGGAGGGGAGGTTAAGAGAAGAAGGGAAGGAGGGGGAGAGAAGTGGGAGGGATGCAAGAGGGAATGCACACGACTATGGCAGTGATGGTGAACGAATCAAACCACACATTCATGACATGCCCTCCCTACCCCTGTGACACGCATCAATGACATGCATGGACACAGACAGAGCACACATTCATGACAGCCACATCACAGCCATCCTCACCAGTGACATGCACCACCATGGACCGCATTGCCCAGCACGCCTATGGTGTGCAGCTCTGTGTTGCTCTGGCTCGCCGCCAGCAGCCCCCCGACATCAACCAGGCATACACTACAGTGACTGCTGCACTAGTCATATAGGCGGCCACCGCTCTCACCAGTGACAGCCACACCATCTCTCACCAGTGACAGCACTACCATGGACCCCGCGTTGTCCAGCACGCCTTTAGTGTGCACTGTGCAGCACCGTGATGCTCGGACTGGCCGCCAGCAGCCCTCTCAACACACCGCCATCAACACACACACTCCACTCACCCACCACACCACCTCTCACCAGTGATGCGCACCACCATTGACCCCGCATTGTCCACCACGCCTTTAGTGTTGAGCACTGTGTTGCTCTGACTGGCCGCCAGCACCAACCAACCTCACACCACGGTGACTACACTAGTCATATCCACCACAACCCTCAACCACAACTGCTCTCACCAGTGACGTGCACCACCATCGACCCCGCGTTGTCCAGAACGCCTATAGTGTTGAGCACTGTGTTGGTCTGACTGGCCGCCAGCAGCCCCCCCTGCGACCAGATCATGTGGGCTATGACCGGGTAGATGAGCGCTGACAGGAAGAAACTGGGGGGGAAGAGGGAGGGGAGGGGAGAGGGGGGAAGGGGAAGTGCGGGGATTGGACCGCCAGCAGTCCCCCCTGCGACCAGATCATGTGCGCTATCACCGGGTAGATGGGCGCGGACAGGAAGAAACTGGGGGGGAAGAGGGAGGGGAGGGGAGAGGGGGGAAGGGGAAGTGCGGGGATTGGACCGCCAGCAGTCCCCCCTGCGACCAGATCATGTGCGCTATCACCGGGTAGATGGGCGCGGACAGGAAAAACTGGGGCGGGGCGGGGCGGGATGGGAAGGGATGGGACGGAAACGGAGGAGGTGGGAACGGGAGGGATGAGTGGTGACAGGGAGAAGCTGGGGAAAGCGATACTAGAGCAACGTGGATGGACGAGAAGGGGAGAAGGGAATTAGAAGTGCGATCAGATCACGTGTGCTGTCATGCATAGTGCCATATGTGGTGCCACGTGTGGTGCCATGTCTGGTGCCATGTGTGGTGCCATGTGTGGTGCCACGTGTGGTGCCACGTGGCAGATGAGATGAACACTGAGAGGAGGAAGCTGGCGAGGAGAGGGGTGATGTGAGAGGTGATGTGAGAGGTGGGTGGGACCATGGGGGAGCGAATGGCGCTTGGGTCATCATGTGTGCTGTGCTGCTATGGCTTGAATGAGCCTTGAGTGGGAGACACGGATGCACAAGCAGTTGGGGAGGGGAGGAAGGGGAGATGTGGGAGAGGTGAGGGAGTGAGGGGCGATGGGGTGGGTCATCATGTGTGCTGCGCTGCTATGGCTTGAATGAGCCTTGAGTGGGAGACACGGATGCACAAGACAGCAAGACACCTTGCAGGAGGGTATCAGATATCTGCTATCTATAACAAGAGACAGGCAGCCTATCACGGGATTGAAAGCTTGTAACGAGGAACATGGGCTGTTGTGGTGTGGACTAGGATTACTTGAAGTCAAGGCTCCCCCAAAGATGATGCACGCAGTCACACAGCCTAAGATACACAGCCTATAAAGAAGCACATGAAGGCAAACAGGTGTTTACTTGAAGGTGAGGTAGGCCCAGAGGTGCGTTCTCTCCGCCACCGCCCCTGCAATAATTGTTGCTGACGTGGCACAGAAGGTGAACTGGAAGAACCAATCAACTCCATTCTGCCCGCTCGCATAAGCAATCTGTATGGCAGGTGTGGGAGGAGGAGGTGTGGGGGGGAGGAGCGGGAGTGGGTGAGTGAGAAAGGAAAGGTAAGAGGAGGGAGAGCGTAAGGGGGGAAGGAGGGATGTGTCGAACTGGGACGGGACTAATACAAACACACTGAAGTTGGTATCTCATCTCCTTTACAGGTACACAACACAGAGTGGGGTTCGCTTCTTTCCCCAACGTAAACAGGCATACCGCATCTCACCGAGCCATAACACACTCCCATCCGCACCCACCCATCACCACCCATCCGTACCGAGCCGTCATCGTACTTCCACCCAAACACCTTGGAGCCCTCCCTAAAGCCTCTCAAGACGTCTCAGATACCATCACACACCTACACGCCGACGCATTTCCATTTCTACCCATCCATATCGCATAGCACAGCATCGTACCGAGCCGTCGTCGTACTTCCACCCGAACACCTTGGAGCCCTCGCCGAAGCCGATGCCATAGCCCAGCAGCCAGAAGGCAATGGCGCTCACACACGTGTCCAGAACGTTCTTTATCATGATGTTGCGCGTGTTCTTAAAGCGGACGGTGCCCGCCTCCAGTAGGGAGAAGCCCAGCTGCAGGGATGGGAGGTGGACCCAAGGGAGGGGGTGAAATGTGAATGGGGTACGGACGATGGCGCTCACACATGTGCCCAGCACGTTCTTGATCATTATGTTGTGCGTATTCTTGAACCGCCGTGCCCGCCAGCAGGGGGGAGAAGCCCAGCTGCAGGGATGGGCGGCGGAGACAGAGGTGGGAAGTGGAGAGAGAGAGATAGCGGGAAGGGGAGAGAGGGGTGGGAGGTGGAGAGAGGGGTGGTGGGAAGGGGAGAGAACGGTGTGATGCGGAGAGAGGGACAAAGAGAAGCGGAAAGAGGGATGGAATGGAAGGTGGAAAGAGGGAAGGTGCACCCTCTAGCCCACCCTCGCCCACCATAGCCCACCTTACCCACCTTAACCCACCCCAACCCAACCCACAATAACCCACCCTAGCCCAGCCTAACCCACCATAACCCACCCCAGCCCACCCTAATCCACCCACCCTCGCACCTGGACACCCTAATTATGAATTTCTCCCTTGGATCCTAGCGCATTTAAGAGCTCTCTCACTGCACCAGAGACCTCTCTCACCGCACTAGACACCTCTCTCACCGCACTAGACACCTCTCTCACCGCACCTGCATGAGGAAGACAAAGACGCACCTGCGCACCCTGTTTCGAGCCGTCTTCCTGCTATCCCCTCACTGCACCAAAGAGCTCTCTTACCCGCACTGGAGACCTCTCTCACCGCACTAAAAACCTCCCTCACCGCACTAAAAATCTCTCACCGCACCTGCATGAGAAACACAGAGACGTTGGCCGTGGTGCGCCAGATCTCGGCAATGAGCATGATGCCATTCAATCTGCACCTCCGTCTGCTCTGCTCCGAGTCGACTAACACAACCTCACCGCACCAGAGAGCTCTAAACCGCACAAGAGAGCGCTAAACTGGCACCACCTGCATGAGGAAGACAAAGACGCCGGCCGTGGTGCGCCAGATCTCGGCGGTGAGCATCGCGGCATTGTGCTCCTCCGACTGCATGCTCTGCACCGATGAATTCAGACTTTTCAGTGGACTACAAAAACCTCACCGCACCTGAGAGCTCCATCACCGCACCGCACAGCACCGCACCTGCATGAGGAACACGAACACGCCAGCCGTGATGCGCCAGATCTCAGCGGTGAGCATCACAGCGTTGTGCACCTCCGTCTGCATGCTCTGCACCGACGAGTTCAGCGCCGCCACGCGCGCCTGCACCTCCGAGAGCGTCATGTTGGTAACATTGTAACTCGTGCCGTTGTACACGACTGTCGTCGCCATGAGGGTGAGTGAGATGAAACTGGAATCAGGAAGAACGGCGGCGACGCCTTACTAGGGATTGGAAATGGTGGATTCGGAACCAATCCGAACCGATGGGAACTAGTCCGAACCAATGAGAACTCTGGTTCCACTGCGACGAGAGGAAACAGCGAGCCGTGCTGCTACTACTACGTCACAATCCTTCTGCCCTGTCGCCTAGTAGCTGTCCCGCTGAACCCTCGTGGAACGCCATGACGGGTGGCAATAGTAGAGTCATTCAGTCTTTGCGGAGACGCATCATGGAGGCTACGATTGAGTCGATCGCTTTTGAGAATACTTTAATGGAGGTTACAACCCCGCTGCGAAATGCGCGAGCCTTGCTTACTACAGAGGCTTTCTAGAAAAACGAGAAGCACGCGGCTATACGGGCGCCAGCTATAGCATCGCCCGTTCCTGCGCGAACCATGCGATCAGTGCGCGCCAGCGTTGAAACGCTTCGAGACTACGTGATGCTGCTCGCAGCCTCATGGTAAACCGTCTGCGGAACGCGGTGACGGTCGGCGCGAGGATCACCCGAACTGATTGTTGAGTTTTCGTATGCGAAGGACTAGCAATAGCATGCGCATTCTATAGCACTACACGTGCTCTACCATGCTACGGAAGGACACGGGGTTACCCGTACATGCTTGTTCCTGTACTAGCGAGCAGGTAGGTAACAAACGAGCCTACAATGAGTCGCATTGCCACAGCGGATTTTCCAAACTGGAGGTTTTTGAGCCACACGCTTTGTTGAATTGCGGCGGATGCAACAATCGCCAGCGCGTGGCCTGTGCACTCCTTACAAACCCTAAGTACGCATGAGGTGGTGGAAGTGGAAGCGCACAGGATCAAATAAAGTACATCACTCTGGGCGAACAGAGGTGCGGTGGAAGAGAAGAGAAGGGAAGCCATGGCTGGGGATCGTTTGTGGTTCTTGCTGTTCCAAGTTCCATCTGTCCCTCCTCCCCCTTCACAAGTGGCTATCGCAACAAATTTACCCTAAAGCAAGCTCACCATTCTCGAACCAAATAGTTGGAGCTGGGACGCTTGAGGGTACCTACTTGTGGGTTAGCGCTGGAACTACTTGCTCACTCACACAGCTGGTGGTGGAATCAGTTACGACTGACTGGGTATTCACCGTTAAATAAATGCTGGTGGTGATCGTGGTGATCGTCATCTCCTAGAATCGGACAGCTTGGACAAGGTTCAGGAGCTTGCAAAAGAAAATCGGGCACACTGAAAATTATGTTCCGTCCACTTAGACCACTTCTCCCACATGGAGCTCCGGGAGAAAAAGCCGCACTCCAATTGGTTGGATGAAAAACTTCCAATCCAGAAAACAGCGAATCCCCAGGCTCAGACATAGACCTCGTGTTCCACGTGGTTCGCAGGCAAAGTTGTGAAGGTGTGGGTGCATTTGAATGAGCAAGCTAAGATTCCGCTATTGAGCCAAACTAGTACAAATGTGAGAGACGCATGAGCTAACATTTATAGCTAAAACTACAAACGGTAACGCTGTACAAGGTGTACAGTGACTTTCTCGTCGTCGGCCATTGCGGGCTTAACGATGAGCAGTACACACTCACATTCGTTGACGCCGGAACCCGCTACGTGTGGGTAGTCAACGTTGAACTCCGGATTAGGGTGTACGAGGTCTTCCGCCTCTGGCTGGCGCACGTGCAGCGGCAATCTGGGAAGCTGAAAATTTGGCAATCAAATGGCGCAGCGGAATTTCGCAGCAAGGAGCTGCAGGACTACCTAGTGCAGAAAGCCATCGAGCATCACATCTCCCTCCCCTACGCACACCCGCAGCAAGGTGTTGCCGAGCGCACGAATCGCACGCTCATGACGAAGGTTCGGGCGCTGCTGAAGCAGTCAAAGCTTCCCCCAATGTACTGGACGTACGCAATGCACCACGACAATCTGTCCCCGCACCTGAACTGGACGGGCACGAAGGGCGACACATCCATGTTTCGTGTATGGGGGTGCATGGTAAAATACCGCCCGCCAACATCAACCATCGGCAAATTCGCAAGCCGGGCGCGTTGGGGGATCCACCTTGGCATCAGCCACGGATACAAGGCGTGGCTCATTCTGTACCTTATCAGCCAAAAAATCGCGAACGCGCGCGATTTTATCTTCTACGAGCGGCTCTTTCTCGAGCAGTTCAACGAAGACGAGCAAACAAACGCAAATCGTGTTTACGCCAACGACGAGCACAGCTACGTCACGCTCGAAGACGAAGCTGCCGCAGCTATCCTGGAGCAAGACACCATAGGCGAATTCGCGGGAGGAGATCGCCACAGCAGCAACGATGACGATGAAGACCCCTCAGGAGGAGAAGTCGGCGGAACAGGAGGAAGCGGGAGAAGCGCAGCGCCACCACCGCCACCTGAACCAGAGAGTGACGACGATGACGTGCAGGAAGTCATCCCGCAGCATCGCCACGACAGCACCGCCTCAGGACTGCAGCTGCTGGGACTTCACGCCGCCACCTCAACAGCGCCACGTGTCATCGAGCCCAAGAACCCGCGACAAGCGCTAACAGGCCCTTACAGCAAGGAGTGGTGTGAGGCGATGGATGCAGAGATTAAGGCGTTTGAGTCACGCGATACCTGGGTGCTCGTTGGTCGCACCGCAATCAAAGGAACAAAGATTGTTTCCGGCAAATGGGTCTTCCGCGAGAAGACCGCGGTGGACGACACGATCGAGCGATTCGAGGCGCGTTGGGTCATACGCGGCTACAATCAGAGGCACGGCATAGACTTTGACCAGACGTTCGCGCCGGTCAGCCGTCACACCTCCATCAGAACTTTTCTCGCCATCGCCGCTGCGAGGCACTTACCGTTTCGCCAAATCAATGTGAAGAACGCATTGCTTTATGCGTTAGTAGACGCGGTAATCTACGTGGAGCAGCCGCACACATACGGCGAAGGGGACTCACGTGTGTGCAAGCTGCGAAAATCCCTCTATGGGATCAACCAGGCACCGAAGCTCTGGCAGTAGTACCTGCACAACATCCTGATTGAGATATGCTTCAAACAACTACCTCACGATCCAGGAATGTACCGCCGCGATTTCCGCGGCGACTACATTCTGCTCACGGTCTACGCCGACGATTTACTTTACACAGGGTCGAGCAACGAATTGCTTGAACAGTTTGAGAAAAACCTGGCAACGCGCGTCGACATTACCTACAACCATGACGTGAGGCAGTTCTTTGGCCTTAACATCTCCTACGCGCCAGAAGTCATTCATTTCTCAGCAGCGAAGTATGCAGAGGAACTTGACAAACGCTTCAACATTGCGCTTGCACCACTCTCCACCCCTTACCGCACTCCCGGACAAAACCACAAACCCGACAACAAAGCCCTATCCCCTGCTGGAATTCAGACTTACCAACAGCAGCTGGGATGTCTTCTCTTAGCCTCAGTGACATGCAGGCCTGACCTTTCCTACATGACGAGCCAACTGGCTCAGTACTCCCGCAGACCAATGGCTGAGAACCTTCGAGATCTTCAGCGCACCTTGCAGTTCTTCATCTCCACGCCCAAAGGTTGGGCTCTGCTACTCCACAGAGCCAACCCCATCCTTCGACCTCATTGGCTACGTGGACGTCGATCACGCAGCAGGCCCCGACAATCAACGGTCCAGGATCTTAGAATAGAACGAGAATGAATGAACTAGCAGGAAGTTGGGTACAAGTAGGAAACCCTAAGTTTGTGTACCCTCTAAGGCTAAACCCACTATAGCCTACACAATATAAACATACAATGTTTGACACACCCCCATAGGCGAAGTGGGAGACAACCAGAGGGTCACAAGACCAGTCAAAGCAAAGCAAGGCAAAACAAGCTCAGGGTGGATCTCAAGGATACCACACAAATTTCGACCTCCTGTTCTAGCTTTCGACGCCGAGGGCCGTCCGGTCAAATTCGAAACCTGGCTAGATGACCTGCACCTTTTCCTACAGCTCACTGCCAAGGAAGATATTACACTGTACGACCACGCTCTCGGCCATGCGACCGCCCCACTCGCTACTGCCCCCCCAGCTGAGCGCTCACAGTGGCAGACCCGTGACGCGCACGCTCGCTTTGCTATTCGCAACTCCCTGCCGCTAGATGAGCGCGAGCACTTCGGCCAGTGCAAGACTGCTAAGGACCTCTACACAGCTGTAGTGGCCCGCTACTCCTCACCCGCTTCTGCCACACTAGGCCGCCTCACTCTCCCCTACCTGTTCCCCGACCTAGCCTCTTTTCACACTGTCGCAGACCTCATCACCCACCTTAAGACTAGTGAGGCTCGCTTTCGCGCTGCCATGCCTGATGAGTTCCTCGCTAGCAACCCCCCCCCGCTCTGGATCACTCTCTACCACGTTGTCACCCGCCTCCCTGACTCTCTGCGCCCTGTCAGGGACCAGTTCCTCTCTCGCTCCCCCACTGAGCTCACCATAGCCCTCCTCGAGAAGGAACTGCTTGCAGCCGAGGCTAGTATCGTCGCTGTAGGCACCTCTCGTGGCGACCCCCGCGGCCCCTTCTTCGAGGGGTGCTCCCCTTCCCCCCTCCTCCCCTCTGTCGCCTCTGCTGCTGCTGTCGACCTCCTTGGTGCTGAGAAGGTCGGGGCTGCGTCTGCTTCAGGCGGACGACGCAGGGGCAGGAGTGGCAGGAGTGGGGGTGGTGGCGGAGGAGGCGGGGGTGGAGGTGGTGGCGGTGGAGGTGCGACTGGAGAGGCTAGTGGCGGCGGTGGTGGAGGTGACAGCGGTGTTGGGAGTGGTGACAGGGGCGGAGGTGGCAGCGGAGGCGGAGGTGGTCGTGGCAGCGGCAGGGGTGGAGGTGGCCGGGGCGGAGGCGGAGGGGGTGGTGGTCGTGGGAGCCCGGGGGGCGGTCAGAGTCAGCAGCCTGCCCCGACCCTTCAGGCCGCCCGTGAGTGGTATG